CTCAGATGCCATTAGGTGAATTCCACAATAGAATGAATCACAACCCAGCATCACATGAACCACTAAGCATCGGGAGAGAGTATACCACTTGGAAAAAGGGAAACTCACTGATATAAGCAAATGCCACTTATGTTGGAATTCCTGGGATACATTAGCATAATCCCTCTTGAAAAGATAACACTGAGTGACAAGTACACCCTACCCACACACACACACAATATGTTTAACACAAGAAAAGGGAACAGACATGAAAATTCTGCACTGAGTTGTGGGCAATCATCACTTTGCAAATCCATAACCCAAACAGGCATGCAATAAATTAAACTATAACATCCATTGCATAGTATCCTACAAATAATAACACTGAAGAATATTAAATTATGAACAAAGGTCTCACAAATGGGTAAAACAATATATATATCACAATCAACATTTCGGTAAAAACAACCCTTGTGAGCCGATTTAGATTTACCCCACCCCTTTCAAAAAATACAAACCCAAATCACTTCACTGATCATGGGAATACAAATCCAAAATTGTACTGTCAAATAATAAAAAGATGGCAAAAGGAAAAACCAAATATTTACATATTTCATAAGCGTCTATTCCGTTGCGCTTAACGCATAACAAGGGAAACGATTACATGCAAAATAATAAATTATCGCAACCCTCTAACCATTAATACCCCAAAGCACTTAAGGGTGCATATTCCCTTTTACAAGCTTCAAGTAATAAACCCAACACAATTGCAGTTAAATGGGACCAGTAATATCCATACGATAGTATACTCACAGCTGTAATTAGACGTCAATGGATGAGCGGATAGACTGCTAAAGCATACGCAACAAATAGCAAAACAAAATACGGAATGACACCAGAAATATACATATTATATTCGATCCAACAGAGAATTAAACACATGTATACATCGATAGTAATACTCTCAGAAACAACAATAACACAACCACAATAAATGCAATATCAAGGACTACACGCATTAACAAGAGCAGAAGCACCTACTGTAGTCAAATCCAATCTCAACAGCTAAAGGATGTAAACAGTGGTAATGTGTGACATAATGTCATTCTCAGTGTGTTTATCAAATAGAATCCTTGAGAGACTTGGGGAAGGCAAAGAGTCACAAAAAGGAAAAAGAAGCAACACATATAATGAATAATACAACAAAAACATCAGCACTGAAGTAACTACAGAAAAACATAAACACATAAACCTTCTTCCACAGAACATTTTTCATTCAATAAAAAAAAAAAACATCAGAAGAAAAAAAAAAAAACCAATGATAAAAAGAAGCTCAAGTTTATGTTTATTGTTCACCACGACACTGTCATCGCTTTCTCACCATATATATGTGTACTCTCATGTATGTGGCAACGAACAGTTGGATTCTTAAGAATGCATACCTGATAATTATTCATTTTCAGAAAATGAATTTAAAATCATAGCAATAAAAAATCACAAACAGTTAAATGAAATTTTCCAATGCAGCGAAGAACGCTAAAAAAAGAAAAAAAAAAAAAAGAACGGTCAACGTATTACAGTTTATGGGATTTGATTCAAAGGGCCGTAATAAGCAAAAGTGTTTATTATTCTGAATATGAATGGATTTCTCATGGGACCATCACAAAACCAACAACACACACAAGAAGTGCAAGAGGGGCTATGTAGGAGAACATGATGCTGCTGTCAGTACGTCCCGCATCATTCGTATGATTTAGTGTTTCTTCTTTTATTTGGCCCTCATTTAAGGTTGTCCCATTCAAAACACCACTGTCCGCCTTGTGAGGGGACAGGTCATTTGCAGCATCAACAGTGTTGGTGAACTGTATTGTGTTGTCGGTGCCGTTGGGATTAGATGTGGATGAAGAAGTAGTATCAGTATCATGGCGATTTCTCGTTCCAGGGTCTTCTTACTGTGTGGCACTTTGTGCTGTAGTACTGGACTGGTTAGAAGCTACTAAAGCACCTTCCCCTTGGTTATTACTGGACGTTTCAACCCTAGTATCTGCACCTGCGCCATTGTTTGGCTTCGGCTCGGCGCTCGAGCTACTCTGTTCTTCGGTTTCCTCCCCAGGCTTTTCCTCCTCTTCCTCCTCTTCAGGCTTTTCCACAACTTCTGTATATGAAATATTAAAAGGTTCGGTTTCCGGTAGCCCGGTGCACACTTCAGCGTATTTGGGGCACACAATAGTTCCACTCGTGAACACTGAACCCTGCAGATCAATAGTATCGCCATCATTTTCGCACACATGCCACGTTTCTTTGCTTTCCTGGCCCTTGTACTGCACATGCACCTTGCCATCCTCACACTTCACTTTTGCACAAATGCCTTGAACGGTCACTCCATTTCCACTATGGTCATTGTTGAGCACCGGTTCGTTCACATTCAGACACCGTGACATATTGCTCACAATACTTCCAGGCATCAGTGTCTCATTACCAGTCTCGCACATGGTCTCTTGAAACGGCCTAATGATGGGACGGCCTTTCATCATATCACTCTGTTCACCAACAATTTCAAAGAACTTGTACTCATCGGACATACTATGCGTGTTCGTGTCGATCTTGGAGCAGACACCAAGACCAAAGCGATCAGAAGTGCACTGTAGTACAGGTTTATCACTTTCCTCGCAGAAGACGTTAGAGGAGTTCAATGTTTTGCTGATTGCTGTGCACGTGCTTTGTATGAATTCACATCCTGATTGATTCCCCCAACTCATCGGTTCTGCCATACTGAAATTAACCTCGTAGAAAGGCATATCACCAAATGCTGCAAGTGTCAGGTTAGTGTAGAACATTCCAGTGGGTTCACCAGTGTACGGACTCATCAATTCATCCCGTGCGATGCGCCTCTCCCAATATCCGGAATAAGTATTGCCTTTATTATCCAAAATCATTCCCTTGATGTTTTGGCAGTTGTAGTGCTTCCCGGCCCTATCCTTCACAGTGTTACTCTGCACCATCATGAGCCACTTTGGTACGCCATTCATAAAGATAGATGCTGATGCTGTCGTGAGATATTTACTCATATATTCGGTGGTAAATCCAAGTCCAACCGCAATATCGTGTGCAGCCAAACGAATATAATGTCTCGTGGCGACGATCTCCTTCGGGACAAAACTGATGCGGGCAGATGTTGGTCGCTTATTCTCATCTATAGAGCAAACCGCCGAACTTTTACGCTCTGTCCCGAGATTCACGTAAAGCATAAAATCAGCATCGGGAATACCTTCAGTACTATGCTCACTGGGAATAATGAATCCCCAGCAATTGCTCGTAAACCAGCGAACCGACTCTTCCTGTATCTTTCAGATTGCTCTTCAGTGGTTTCACATTCAGGCGATCCCTGTGCAATTTAATCGCTTCAGGGAGGAGATCCTTAAAAAGAGTATTCATCTTCGCTGTTGTCATTTAATTGTCACCGCTACAGAATTCGACGGTAGTATTGGAATCACCCTCCGAACGCTGTTTTATGCATTCCTTCACAACATCCTCCACAGATTTTGTATACACAGCAATGCGAATGGGCTCCCATTCCTCAGTAGGAGCATCAGAGACGGTGTACGCCTGTAGAGCACTTTCTCCTTTCTGTGGTAACTGCTGCACAACAGCACCAAAACACCCGCAGGTACAGTACAACCAGAACAGTGCAGCTCATAGCAGGTGACGCATAGAGTGTTTCTCCATTTCTTAATGGTGTGAGTGCTTTTTTGTTTTTGTGTTGCTTTGCTAAGGTACACGCAGTAAAGAGAAAAAAGAGGAGGGAAAAGGGAGAGAATAAAAGGTAAGCACGAAAAGACATTATATTGGATCTAGCAGATAATTAAATACATCTCTACAAAGAAGGAAATGGTTTCAGATACACCACTACTATCACCAACAGCACAGAAACAATAGAATAATGGCAGAATCATATATACGTCGTCTATTCATCCCAAAAGGCACTCCTGCTCCTGTTAGTGGGTGACATTCCATGGAAAGCAGTAGAAATAGTTTGAAGTCGACCCACCACGTAGGCACGTTTTGATACCTACCTAAGTGGTGGCAGTAACAGAGCCCATGCACCTACTGTTAGCTATAAGCTCGTGATCTTTAAAAGAGAAAGTGACAGAAGAAAAACAAGAAGGCGGCCGGAATGAATAAGCGAATGAATAAAAAAAAAAAAGAACAACGTGACATCGGTGAGGGTGTGATGACAATATAGCAGTGAAAAGACAAAATTGACACAATCTACTTGGATCATTTGAAATATTTAGTTGGGTCCATTCTTTCATAACCTCGGTTTTCTTTTCTTTTTTGTTGTCGTTCACTTAATTTCTGTTCAGAGAGGTCATATGCATTTATGTTGGATGCCCCTCGGCGGCATTATTGTTGTCTTCCATTTACCATTCCTGCCGTTCCAACTAGGTCAAACTTGTCTCTTACACGAAGAGCAGTAGGAAAGGAGACGGAATACAGACTGGAATTCACCATTGTACTATATATATATACGTGCGTTTTCTTTCTATCTTTCTTTCTTTTTCTTGATGTTGACTGTTTGTTTGTTTTCATTTTCTTTCTTTGTTTTGTTTTGTGTTTCGCGTTTGTATTTGTGTTTGCCATCCTGCTTTTTCTTGCTTCCTTGCGTGTGGGGAGAAGCGTTTGATTACTACAGGGCAAGAATGTAGATGTATGCGTGCGTGCATGCGTATGTATGTATGTATGTGGGTGTGTGTGTGTGTCACTCTACTTTCTCCAAATCCAGCCGTTGATTCATTGTTGTGGGTGTAAGTGAGGCACACACATACTCACTGATTCACGGCGTTGGGAAGAGAAGGATGAAATAAAACAAAAAAAAAAAAAACACAAACAAGTGAGAGAATGGGAGAAAATACAAAAAACAAGGAAGATGGAAGAACCGGTGCAATACCTCTCCTTCACCCTCCCATTACCTCCCTGTGGTTCCCACATCCCACTTCCCCTTCGAAGACCCTTTACCTTCCCTACTTTTCCGTTATTGTCCATAGCTTGAGCGTATCGTCGAGGGATGAGGTGAGAAGTGTGTTGCCAAATACATCCATGTGGTACACAGTGTTATGGTGTCCGGGGATCGTCTCGACCAATTCCCCTGTAGTAGCGTTCCATACCATAACAGTCCAATCTCTGGCGCAGGAAAATATGTACTTATCATTCGTGGAGAATATGGCGTGGTGGATCGGTACCTGGTGACCCTTCCATGCAAGGATACAGCTGCTATTTCTCCAGTCCCACACTTTCAGTTCGTGATTCATAGATGCCGTGACGATACGGCTATCATCGTGCGAATACTTGCATGACCAGACGGTATCGGTGTGACCACTCAGGGAACGGAACTCCTCGTCCTTCGCCCAGTCCCACACTTTAATAAGGCGGTCGTCGCCACCGGAAACGATGTACTTACCTCCATCGGTGTTAGTGAAGCAGCAGGAAAAGACAGCAAGGGTGTGGCCCCGCAGTGTAACCATCTTGGATGCGGTATTGGCATCCCACACCCGCACCGTGTGGTCGCACGAGGCGGAAACAATGTAGTCACCAGTGGAGTTGTATTGCACGCAGTACACCTTGTCGTCATGCCCCTTCAGTGTGTACACCTTGGAGCAGGTTGTGGTGTTCCATACCTTTATCGTGCGGTCGTCGGACGAGGAGACGATGCGGTTCCCACGCGGTGAGAAGTCGCATGAGAGCACAAAGCCATTATGTCCACCCTTCATCACGCTGCAGCCACCCGTAACGGTGTTCCACAATCGCACAGAGCGGTCGCGACTCGCAGTGCAGAAACGGTCACCCTTCGACGAAAAAGAGCAGCAGTACACAGCGGAGGTGTGCGCCGTAAACGTCTTCTCTTCACGTACCTGTAGTACGCCGGTTGAAAACGCCTTCGTCTTGAACTCACCTCCCGCCTTCATATCTGTCAGTTTGTCATCTGATACCTTCTTGCGGGATTCTGGCGGGGCGCAGATGAGTTTCATACGCTTCCCTTCCTGTGCTTGTCCCTGGCTCATCTCAAGGAACATGCAAAACACGTCATCATCGTCCATGTCGATCACATCTTCGCCTTCGTAGAATGACATGGCCATCTTTCGACCAAATTTCTTCTCTACCATTGCACTGAATTCCTCAAATGTTGTGCTGGGTGAAATATACAGAACTTTATTTGCACTGTTGTTCTCTTCTTGACAGTATATGGGGATTTTTCCCCTTGTTGTTCGGGCCGTCATGACAAGCATTTCATCCTCCCCACCGCCAACACTCTGTCGCATTGTTGAACTCATTGAAGGAAATGCGTTTGGGTCGTCGCGCAGTCGCGCCGTCAGATCCATCTCCGGTTGTTCAAGTACTTGTTTGATAAAGTTGCTGATGGTATCACGCTCTTCGACGGACATACCTGTTAACTCGTCAATTGCCTCAACACCACCAGCCGCATTTACTACTTGTTGTTGTTGTTGTACAGGTAGTACTGGTGGCACTTGACGATGCTCATTTGCTTGAGACACCACTGTTGTAGAATTTGTCGCTAACTGAGAGTTCGGGTCTACTTCACCAGCGGTTTCCTTCTTTTTTGCTGCTTTGCGTGCCGCCTTCGCCTCCTTCGCTGCGATAATCATTGCCCATATTTCATTTTCTGTGGCAGTGGAGTCCGGAAGGTTCTTTCGAAAGGTCTCCACCGCCACGTCCTGTGCAGCGTCTTGTTTGACAAGAAGCTCAATTACAGCATGCTGTTTTTCACTCGGAATACCCTCGTACGAGAACTGTTTCCCATTGAAACTCAGCGTTATTTTCTGGGGTTTTTCCTTTACATTTTGCTTCTGCTGCTGGTCACCCGTAGCGTCAGACATCTTGTTTTTCTTTTTTTCCGCGTAGGCACGCTGAGCATCAGCAAACTGTTGCCGGATGTTTTCATCGGTGAAAACCTCGGCGTTGTCAATGTTGTCACGGAATGCTTGCACTGCAACAGATTCGTCAACTTTCATCTTGACGAGAATATCGAGCAGATCCTTCGTACGGTTCTCGGGTCGTCCTTCGTATACGACGGCCTTTCCTGCTATACTGAACTTTAGCTTCTCCTTGGACATGGTGCAATAGATGGGTACAGTACTTGGTGGTGTTTCCCGTTATGGGTGCAATATATATATATATATATATATATATATATGCCTGCTATTTCTTTTTGTTGTTTTCTTTCTTTCCTTCTTTATTCTGGTTGTTGTCTGCTTGCGTACCTTACGCAGAGTTTGACACCGTGAAAAAAGAACTTTTTTTCTCTATCTTTCTCCCTCTCCATTATTACAGGAAGATCGAAAGAAGCGAAAGAGAAAAAAAGGTAACAAGAAAAAAAAAAAGAAGAGACATAAGAAACAAAATAAAGAAAAAAAAGGACCGTTCCATTAACCCCTATCCCCCACCATACCAAAGAAAAATATCTAAAAACAGAATATATATATATATATATATATATATATATAATATTTAAAACACTGACATAACGTAACGATAAATTTGGACTAACGATATTAATTACTACGCCATATACTATTATTCTCTGGATATTCCCGCCCCTCGCAGCGTCGCCACTTACTGTAAGCCTGTCGCACTCGTGCCTCACGTGTTTCACATTCGCTCTCCAGCTCCAATATCTCCTTCTGCATATTAATGACTGTCTGTGTGATACCGTCGATACTGCGCCGCGTCTCCTCAAGCTCGTTTCCCATCTCCAAACGCTGTTGTTTGACACTCGCCGCGCTTTCCGCCAGCTCCAGGCACTTTACGTCGACATCTTCCTCCACCGCATGTGCCCGCGCCTTCGCCTCCATTACACATTGCGCAAGGTGAGCTTGTTGCTCCTGCATCTCCGATAACTGTGTTTCCATCAGCTTACGATGTGCCCGCTCCGCATTAATGCGCTCCTTCAGCTCATCATGCTGCTTCCGCAGCTTCTGCATTACCACAGAGGAGGCGTGCACGAGATCAATAAGGCCAATCTCAGCCTCTTTCAGTCCTTCCATCCGCCCCCGCCACCGACTTGGGTTCTGATCACAGCCAATTGTGGTAAGTCGCACACGTGCGAAAGCGAGCTGCATAAAGGAAACCCACAGACGTTTCTCATCCTCACTCGGGGTGCGCAGGTAGAACATGTCATTAGAGTTATTTACAGTAATTCCAAAGTAGTGGTAACGGCTGTCTGTACACTTGGGATGAACTGTGGCATCAATGTGTTCAATCACAATGCTGTCTTTCGTGAACACCTTATACCCCTTTGGTTTCTCGCCTGGGGCATTTGTTTCATAGTAATGCATTCCCTTGTCGTCCACGCGGAAGTATCGCTTCTGCCACTTCACACCCATCCGGCGACCGTCCGATGAAAGTTTCTCCAAGTAACCATCCTTCACAACTGTCTCAGAAAGAAGCTGCTGATATTGAGGACCTACTGGTTGCCAGAGTGCTTCAAAAGAGCGCGCAACCTTCACGCTGCACGGTGCACACAACGCGCCAATGGCCTGCCCAAATTTGTTTCCAAGTGTTACTTGCAGACCTCTTACGCGGCGGTGTCGTAACGCGCACGACGGTGGTGGTGAAGGCGAAGGAGAGTCTACAGTGGGTGATATTTGAAGCACTGCCCCATCCGCATGCTGCGTGCCGAACGAGCCAGCATCACCAGCAGCAGTATCATCTCCAACGGCGTCGCCATCGTCAACGGGTCCGCCGCCGAAAAACAATCGGTACCAATGCTCCTCATCGTGCGGGTATGCCGCAGATTCGTCCCCACTGAACTCACCGGGATCATTCGCCTGGTACGACTCAATTAGAGAACGCCCATCCGTCAGGCCTTTCGGCGGTCGAAGGAGAAGCACTTCGTCATTATTGCTCTCTTCGTCGTCCGTCCAGGTATCCTCGTCAATGCGCCTCCAGTCAGCGCGACGCCGCATAAGTCGCAGAAGCGACGTCGGTGCCGTCTTCTCTGGCTCTGGCCCCAACTCAGACGTGAGCTGCGCAATCAACTCATCCTCGCGACCACAATGCGCACGCAAAAGCTCAGGCACTGCCTCCAGTCGTGCAGGGTCGTAGCGAACAAGAAGACGACGAATTCGACCCTCGTAGTCACCAAAATTCGTCCTTACGAAACTAAGTAACTCCATTTCCGTCAGTAAACTGTAACAGACCATCTTTGCATCCTTTCCAGAAGCTTCCAGGGAAGCCAAGAGTTTCTGTCGTTCGTCATCATCAATTCTACCTCTGGTTTCCTCTTCTCTCTGCAGGACTTCTTTCTTCTGTTCTTTTTTATCGTCCTTGACACCCGTACTTTCTTCTACCGGCTCTGGACCGTACGTTGAGACAAGGCTATTCATGAGCTCGTTTACAGAGTGTCTTTCACAGGACTCAATTAGCACATCCACACCGGCTAATTTCTCTGGCGCGTATTTAGCGAAAAATCGCATTAGTCGAGTCCTAAGTACTTCAGCGTCAACGGTCACAGAAACAGTTTCATCTTTCCTGGTGGTAAGCGGAAGGTTATCCCGTAAGGGCTCCGGTCCGTACTTCTTGACCAGTGCCGCAAACATTTCCTCTTCTCTCCCGTTGTACGCTTTTAGAATGGCATCAATGGTGGAAATCTTCCCTGGATTGTATTTGCGCATGAAACGCTCAAGGCGGGAGCGGACGTCTTCGGGTTCGTGCGCACCCACAGGTGTAACAGCAGTAGGAGCAGGAGTATCAGCAGGTGGGCAGTCGTCCCGTGGGGGCTCCGGTCCGTACTTCTTGACCAGTGCCGCAAACATTTCCTCTTCTCTCCCGTTGTACGCTTTTAGAATGGCATCAATGGTGGAAATCTTCTCTGGATTGTACTTGCGCATGAAACGCTCAAGACGGGAGCGGACGTCTTCGGGTTCGTTGGAAGTTGAACGCAGATCGGACATGTTCTTTCTGGAGTTATCTACGTGCAAAGTAGATTCTTTACTAGAAAACAACGCGCGTCTACTCTCCTTTGGCAAGGCCAACAATACATCCGTGTAGGAAGCACCAGCAACACTAAGAATAGTTTGGATAACCTCTCTGACTGAAATCCTTTCACTATCCTTGACAACTCGGTCTCTCACATTCCCACTCTGCGTCTCTCTATTTAAAATAGCAGGTGGGCAGTCATCACGTGGGGGCTCCGGTCCGTACTTCTTGACCAGTGCCGCAAACATTTCCTCTTCTCTCCCGTTGTACGCTTTTAGAATGGCATCAATGGTGGAAAT